ATTCTATCACAAAACCTGTCCTCAGGCCGAAGAAATCGTGAGAGAGATTGTGGCGAAGAAAGTCGAAGCAAACCCTAGCTTGGCTCCCAAGTTACTAAGGGTTCATTACCATGACTGCTTTGTTAGGGTATGATATAAAATTAGTTATAATTCTAGATATTGCCTTTAAAAGTTTGTTATGCTTTCCCTGAACATCTTTATGATAAAAGATTAGTCTAATGTGGATCATTGATGATATTTAGGGGTGCGACGCGTCGCTCCTTTTAGATTCAGTTGCTGGAAAAACCGCGTCCGAGAAGGAAGCCAGGCCTAATCTCTCACTTTCCGGATTTGAAATCATCGATGAGATAAAGTCTCGTCTCGAGAAACAATGCCCTAGAACCGTCTCATGCGCTTACATTCTCACCTTAGCCGCCAGAGACGCCGTCTCCTACCAAGTAATATATTAAACAAACTCGCCTAAATTTACTAAGCATTACTTGTTGAGAAAACGCTAGCTGATCAAAAAAAGAGTCAATTCTCATTGATTATGTTTCTATTTTTGCAATCGTATAGATGGTTTAAATGTGAAGAAAACTCAGACTTTTGAGAAGATTTAGTTAGTTCTATACGATTTACCCATTTATAAAACAAAACTTTAGAAAGTCAGATTTATGAGTGTTTTGGAAAATGATAAAATCCGTAATAGTTTGGACGGCCACTATGGAATGTCTTTACCGGACGTGTTGACGGAAGAGTTTCATTGGCGACGGAGGCCGCCAGAGACTTACCGTCTGCCGGGGCAAACTTCACCTCTCTACAAAAACTCTTTGCCGAGAGTGATTTGGACGTCATTGACCTCGTCGCTTTATCAGGTTTGGCAATTGGCATCTCATTCATTTTCGACTTCATTATATTTTGTTATCACTAATCATATGTGTACACAATATTTTTACGTTACTGATAAGAACCAATATAATTAAAAACCAACTTATGAAATAGGGAAAAAGGAAATTATATGAAAATCTTGGGAATATCAGGACACGTGCATGCCCATGTTAATTAGGAAGTGCATGGGATGTATAC